CTTGTGCAAAGGTAAGTCAGTAACTTGTATTCAACTGTTCTATCATGGAAGTAACAGGTTAAGTGTCTGGAGCCTGCAACTGTACTGAGGACGGTTGTTCAAGGGACCAGCAGGCTTTCCTCCCTGAGCAAACAGGAAAACAAGGAGTGTCTTGCACTTGCCTGTAGTCTGGTGGAACAGTGTTTTCACCCTTGCTTTGCAAAAGTGACAGTAAATTATCTGTGAGATTTCTTTTTCATTTATCATTACTGTGTGTATGTATGATATGTATCTGGGCGAGTATGTGCCACGGCACATGTGTAGAGGTCAGAAAACAAATCTGTGGAGTTGTTTCTCTTTTTCTACCGTTACATGAGTTTCGGGAATGAAATTCAGTCTCTCAAGTTTGCATGGCAAGTGCTTTACCCCTTGAATCATCTCGACAATTTTTACTCTGATAAAGTAAAAAATGTAGAGAGGTATAATGACATAAGCCTGTAATCCCAGTACCTGGAAAGCCAAGTAGCATGAGTTTAAGGCTAGCCTGGGCTACACAGTGAGTAGGGTAGGAAGAAAAACTGTAATCTTTAAAAGAGGTCAGGTCAAAGCAGCTTCTACTGAAAGGGGATCTTAACATATGCTGCTTAGGTGAGTGTTGTAAACACATGGCTGGCTGGGTCAGAAGCACCAAGGTGCAGCATGCCATGCACCTCCTATGGGGCATTTAGCTTAGTACCTTTCATTACATAGATGAACAAATGGAAGAGTGTTTGCACAACTAGCCCCTGGGCATCGAGTTAACTCATGTTACCATAAGGACGATGGGAACCCCTTCAGAAAAAAATCACTTTAAACACATAGAAACACACATCCTTGGGGGGAGGGAACCAACTGGAACAGCAAGCACTGGGTTTAATTAGGCCATTAACGCCTCCACTGCATTATTTCAGGATTCTTGGTCTTAACTTCACATCATCATGTATCTTTGGCTTTATTGAAGGTAAGTGTGTATGTGGTTCTCAAAGGCACAACATAAAGATAGATATTAGAAAGAGACAGGGGGCCGGGCATGGTGGCCCTCGCCGTTAATCCCAGCACTCAGGAGGCAGAGGCAGGCAGATCTCTGTGAGTTCGAGGCCAGCCTGGTCTCCATAGTGAATCCAGGACAGCTGGGGCTATAGGGAGACCCTGTCTCAAAAAGACAAAAAAAAAAGAAAGAAAGACAGGGGTAGAGTGTTCAAGCCATGTCTGTAGCCAAGGTAAAGGTACACGTTAGTAAACTGGGTAGAAAGGAGGGTGACTCATCTCTGCAATGCACTGGCAAGCATGGCAAGAGTAAAGGTGAAGTTTCTAGAAAATCTCCTGTCAAAGGTCAGAGGAAAAAGGACCTCATGAAGTGAAGGCCACTCAGCAAAAGTCAGAACAAGGCTACAAGGGCAAGGCAGCTTTGAACAGAAACCGGTAGGGTTGTATGTAAGGCTTGACTCTTTCAGGAGCTAACAAAATGTTTGTAGGGGATGATGGCAGTGATGGTGGTAGATGTAAGACCACAGGGAAAAGTCAAGGGGAGGAAGTAATGGTGCTCAGTCAGCGAGAGAAGGACAGACTTGATGAATGAACTATAACCATGCAGTATAGACCTGAAGCGAAGCCCTGTGACTTGAAAGAAGAGCTCTGACTGGGACCAGCTGACAGAGTGCAGATCACGCAGAAACTGCTCTAATTGCCAGGAGAATAGAACAGTGTCACAATTCTATTTTGCAGTTAAACCTAGACAAAAGTTCTTCATTTTAGAAAATCACTGTCCTTGGCTTCTCCTAATTCCCCGTGTGACATACTCCAAGCTGACCAAGCCTGCGTGCAAAGCTTTCCTTATTCTTTCCTGCTTCTCCCCCAAACCCAAATAGCAGAATCCTCTCCACCCACGTATTATTTAACTCTTGGAAACCCTCCCTATTCTTCTGTAGAGCTGACATCTCCCTCTGCTGCTGCTGCAGTGTGTGCACTGACCATGTTGGCTTCTGTCAACAGGGAGCATCCAGAGGGGCTTTTCTGACAACAGGGGACAGTGGTTGAGTGTGACCTCTGCAGGCTTGATGTACACAGGACTCATGTGGGTGAAAAAGGAGAGAAACGAAAACAACTTTCTAACAACACTTCAAAAGGTATTTAAGAAGCTAGGGCTAAAGAGATTTCTCAGTGGTTAAGAGCACTGACTGCAGGCCAGGTGTGGTGGCATAAGCCTTTTAATCCCAGGACTTGGGAGGCAGAGGCAGGTGTCTCTCTATGAGTTCAAAGGCCAGGCTGGTCTCATAGTGAGTTCCAAGCCGGCTGGGGCTACAGGGAGACCCTGTCTCAAAAGAGCACTGATTGCTGTTGCAGAGGAGAAGACCCAGGTTCAGATCCCAGCACCCACATGGTGACTAACAACAGTCCGCAACTCCAGTTCCAGGGGATCCTGTGGGTATTGCATGACACAGGTGCACTTACATACATGCAGGCAATACACTAATACACCTAAAATAAAAATAATAAAGAATTTTTTTTTTGCCTTTTTGAGACAGGGTCTTCCCAAAGCCCCAGGTGGCCTGGAACTCACTCTGACCAGGCTGGCCTTGAATTCACAAAGATCCGCCTGCCTCTGCCTTCCCAAGTGCTGGAATTAAAGGCATGCGCCACCACACCTGGCTAGAAAATATTTTTTTAAGAAGGTATTTAAGGGGCTAGAGAGATGGCTCAGCGGTTAAGCATGTATGTGTACTGCTCTTCCAGAGGCCCTGAGTTCAATTCTCAGCACCCATGTCAGTTCATAGCATCCGTAACTCTAGCAGTGCATCATATGCACACACGCGCGCACACGCGCACACACACACACACACACACGCACACACACAGAATAAAAAAAATAAAAATAAAATAAAACAAAAACAAGGAGTATTTAAATACATGCCAACTCAGGGCTGGGGGAACAGGAGGGAGAGGCACTATTCCCTCCAGTTTTGTTCCACCTTCAGCACCTTGCACACCAGGACACACTCAAGAATCTGTTGGGATGATGGCCTGACTGTCGGGTTCAGCTGCCACTTGCCAGCTCTGACCTGTGGGCAAGTTACATATATCTAAGTATCCATGGCCTCATTAGTAAATGGGGTTAATGGGCCACTGTAAGGGTTAAAATAAGGGAAGCCAGAGCGGCTCAATAGTAGAGAAAGCTCACCTAGCATGTGTGAGGGGACCTGGCATCTATCCCCAGCACCACAAAAAGAAAAATAAGGAAGATTGCATGAGCTTACATGGGCTAGCATCTGGTGGGTGCACAGGGAAGGCACGTGTGCTTTGAATACAGGTTACAGTGAGCTAATCCACTAGCTTTCCTCACACAGGATTCCTGTCCACACTGTGTTCATTACACCCACCCCATGTCCTCTAGAGCACACCCAGCAACAGGAAGTTCCCAGGCTGCTGGGGCAGCCTAGGCTGTTAGTTTCTTGCAATGGTCTTCCACAGGGAGTTAAAATTTGCTGCAATTTCTATCCTGATCTAGTATGCTCCATAACATGAAAAGGTGGATCCTTTCTTCCACTTGACAGGTCTGTTTCTCCTTCGTTCCCTCTCAACCCAAAACATCCCCAGGTCTGTCTGCTGCTATTTATTCCATATATGACCTGTTCAGAAAGTTCCATCTCAAGTACAGCCGTGGGAACACAACACACCGGCAGAGGGTGGACCTCTGAGTTGTAAGAACCATCTGCACAAAAGGTCAGGATTTAGGTGTCATTTCATGCAATGCATTTCTCTCCTACCCAAGCACTTAATAAGCACAACTGACACCACTCTGACTTCATATAACCTACTCTGCACTGAAGGTTCTGATCACCCTCAGAGCTGAGTTGTGTGTGTTGACTTTAAAGGACAGGGCAAGAGGTCCAGACAGCTCCAAGCAGGGATAGATGGAGGGAATGCTCAGAGTTGCAGTCTGTGGGTTAAGTCCATTTTAATTCCTTTGTTGGCTATGGGGAGGATGGGCACATTGCAAGGTCTGTGTGGCAGGGGATAGCGGTGCTGGTTTTGTCTGGATAAACACGAGAATGCTAATAGAACAATTTCTGAGTATCATTCACTGATAGAAACCCTCATCTCCTTCGAATAAAAAAGGGCATCTTTACACATAGCTTATACCATTTGTTTCAGACTTTTCTTTTTTCTTTTTTTTTTTTTCTTTTTTTTTTTTTCTTTTTTTTTTTTTCTTTTTTTTTTTTTCTTTTTTTTTTTTTCTTTTTTTTTTGTCTTTTTGAGACAGGGTCTCCTTATAGCCCCAGCTGGCCTCTGCCCCCCAAGTGCTGGGATTAAAGGCATGCGCCACCACACCCAGCTTGTTTCAGACATTTATGTGCCTGTCTTTCTCACACTGACATTATGCCTAACTACAAATACCTGAATCTTCACAAAACTCTGCAAAGGACCATTATTCACCCTGTTTCTTTTTTACGGAAGAGGGAGGCAGAACCCAAGAGTTTAAGGTTCTCATACTGGGGACAGAGGTGAGAGACCTAGGCTTGGGGCTTCTACCCCTCAGTCCCACACTGTGCACAACACAATTCCTTAGTGCTGATTGACTGTTTCTACTGCAGAAGCTTTCTAACAATAGTCAGGCATTCAGGGAAACAGAACACATCTTTCAGACTGATCTGGGTTCTAATTATCCACTATCATTTATTTATTTTTGTTTATTTTGTTTTGTTTTTTGAGACAGGGTCTCCCTTGCATCCCCAGCTGACCTGGAACTAACTATGTAGACCAGACTGGCCCCTGCCTCAGGAGTGCTGGGACTAAAGGCATGTGCCACCACACGTGGCTCTCACATGCTTCTCCCCCAAATGGTCCTGAAGGATCTTCTCAGTATTCTTTACAGGATTCTTTATTTCTTAGGAACACAGAGTATTAGCTGAACCCAGCTAATATTCCTGCACACTTAAATTAGGCTAGACTGGACCAGGACTTTACTTTGAAGGAACTCTTACCTCGGCTGGGCACCTTATTTCTACTGAATGTGGCAGCTGGCTGGTGTCCGTAGGGATGGAGCCCCAGCTCCCGGACCTGACTCACAGTTCCCAGCAAAGACTCAGGGTCCCCCGGGCCACTGGTACTCAAGAGCAGAGGGTTGTTGTGGCAACCTTTGGTCAGTGTGCTTGAGCTCTTGCTGTCTAGGAAGCCCTCCTTGGCCCCCTCACATGAGCAGTCCTCTTCCATGCTCTCTGAATGCATTAGTGCTAGGTGATGAGCATACCCATGGGTCGGAGTAGGTGAGGAAACCTGTGAGATACATTCTTGTGCCCTGATCTGTAGAAGATGCTGGGGGCTGGTGTGGTGGTGATGATACGAGTCAGCATTTTGATAAGACAAAGCCTGGCGCTCAGTCATACTCTGTCCCCCAAGGCTGGGAGCCAGGCTCCCAGCATCCCCTTGGCTCATATGCCTGAACAATTCGTGGTACTCTTGCTGCTGCTGCTGCTGCTGTTGTTGCTGCTGCTGCTGCTGTTGCTGCTGCTGTTGTTGCTGCTGTCGCTGCTGCTGCTGCTGCTGCTGCTGCCTTTTAACGAACTGTGCAAACTCTGCTGGAGGCAGCCGAATGTCCGAGTGGCCAGTGAGCGAATGCCGGGGTGAGAGCAGTCCTTGAAGGATATGGGGTACCTGCTGGTGTCTGCTGTAGTCTGGCGGTGTGGGGGACAGCAGGGCCTGCTGTAGTGCTGATGTGGTATAGTGTGGTGGCTGCTGATGTGCACTGGGAGGGAAGGTGGGGAATTGGTCAAGTGGATGGATTTCCAGGGCTTGAGCTGGAGGAAACCCCACTCCTGCTGAAAGGCTGTAGCTGCTGGGGGACCCCCGAGACTGGTCCGAAAACAGATGGGGGTGTAAATGCGCCTGGTCATAGTTGGCAGGGGAGAACCGATTCACGTTCAAGCTGCAGACACAAAAGGGTGTGAGTACCAGGCATGTGAGTAACAAGTACGCTAATCCCCCTGGCATGATCCTTCCTTAACTGGAAGCTTCCACATTATAGAGAACTGTGCTGTGACAGGAAAGGGGGACACATACACACCCTCACTGTCCCCTCAGCTACTTATCCAAATCTTTTAAGAGACTTGAGAGTACAGTTATCCTGAAAGCAACTAGCTGGCCTTTGTTTCTTTGGTTTTTGGACAGGGTCTCATGCAGCCCAGGCTAGCTTCTAACTCATTATATAGCTGAGGATGACCTTAAACTCATAATCTTCTTGCCTCCACCTCCAGAGAGCTGAGATGACAGGTATGTGCTACCACACCTGGTTTATGCAGTGCTGAGGACAGAACTGGGGGCTTTGTGCACGCTAGACAAGCACTCTGCCCACTGAGCCACATCCTCAGCCTAATCTGGCCTCTCTTGAAATGTCATTTGAGCTATTGAGAGGCACCAGTCTCTTAGAAGAAGAACAGAGAAGGAAAGGTTCTCCAGGGGAGTTGGTATCTTTTTGAATTTCTCTAACAAGGCCTTTTCTTTCCTACAAGCAATCCATTGGTAAGGTACGGTGCCATTTTCCTCCTTTCTCATCATCCTTTTGGTCCATAGCTTACAAGCTCATCCTAAACCCATCATCCTGCCTTTACAAAGGGAGACGGAGACACAAGAGTACAGGCTAGTCAGTCAGACTCCCTTTCCTCCTCCCTCATTCTGTTAAGTAGCTGCTTCTTCAGATCACCTAGATAGGGGCTGGGTGACACCAGGCAGCCTTACCTGTGAGCCTCTGCGCTGTCAGCACTCAGTTGCTTGGACAAGGGCCGGTGCCCATAGCTGAAGGAAGCCATTAAGTTGGTACGGTGCTGCATCTGAATCTGACTGGCACTGGGGCTGATAGAAGTGCCCCGCCCTGCAGAGCTTGCAGCTGCCCCTGACATGCTGCTGAGCATGTCAACTGGCTCCTGTACTTGGATGGTCACCTGTTGTGACTGGCTAGGCTGCTGCATGCCCAAGCAGGTTAGTGCCATGCTGGGAGGTGGGGAACAGTTCTCGGGCTGCTGCTGGAAGATTGCACCACGAGAGGGTAAGCCTTGAAACTGGGAAGGAGATGCAGTACCTGCAGAGAAAAGAACCGAAGGGTAACCTAGTACCTGAGTTACCTGCCTGTCAGAGGACAGCATCCAGATCAGCCTTCTCTTTTTCTTTTTCTTTTTCTTTTTTTCTTTTGTGGTCTTTTTGAGACAGGGTCTCCCTGTAGCCCCAGCTGGCCTGAAACTCACTATGTAGACCAGGCTGGCCTTGAACTCACAGAGATCTGCCTGCCTCTGTCTCCCAGGTGCTGGGATTAAAGATGTGTGCCACCACACCTGGCTAGATCAGCCTTCTTAAACTTTACAATACACAAGACAAGACCAGAGAACTTGTTAGAATCCTACTCACCAGGTCCTACCACAGAACTATGACTCAGTAGGTCAGGTGGGTCCCCAAGAATTTGTATTTCCAACCAACTCCCATAAAAGCTAGTCTATGGTCACCCTAGGTATAGACAGTGCTTCTTGAACTTAGAAGTACATAACAACAATCTGGGGATTAGGTTAAACTGCACATTCTGATATGGCCAACATTGCTGGTTTGGGAACTCTACTTTGAGGAGGAAGAGCCTAAAGACCAATTCCAATGCTTCTCAGGAATGTCAAGGGAAACTAAAAAGGAACCTGGATGGTGTAAAGGTCTCTGAAGAAATAAACCCATCAGTCTAGTCGCTTCACCTCCATCTAAATAAGGGGGCCTTGCTTGCACTGTGGGTAGCCACACAGAGGTGATGACAACACGGCTCTGGCAGTAGCCCTTTTCATTTGGTATGATTGGAGACAGTTTCAGTAAAAACATTAATAATGGCTAACCTATATTAAGGACTATTTCTGTTAGATACTGTTCCAAGTACTTTACATATATCTATTATGTATTGCTATTTACCCAGTCAAAACATTGACAGGACAAGGATTCCAAACAAAGCATATGGCTGCAGGGCCCCCACTTCTGACAACCAAGTAATGTTGCCTTTCAGAGAGTTTCTGACACTCAAGACTAAGATCGCAAAACAAAACAAGAAATCAATAAATAAAATCTAAAGACTAAGATAGATTTTCCCCCATGTGGCACACCCAATTGACACACCTGTCTCTGTGTGGTCCCTCCACTCACAGTGAGATGGAATCATGGTGCTGCCCACTGGGGGAGGGCTATTACTTGGCTGCCTGAAGAGATGGTTGTTGGGGTGGTTGGGGGGTGGGCTTGAAGGCTGAATCCTTAACCTTAAAAATGATAAAACAGATAAATGAACTTCCTGAGGTGAACAAAGACATTCAGGTTAACTTTTAGCCAGATAACACACACAAGTAGAAACCACATTTTAGTTCTGGTAGGCTATCACAGTGGAAAGCCACACATACAGCATCTACACAGTGGATTCTAATCCGGTCCACAACTTGTTTTTCCAATTTTTCCCACCATAAAGGCAGAGCTCACTGCACCTGGCCTGCAAAGGATGTCAGAGTATAGATGTTCATGGGGCTAAGGAAATGAAATGGCAACGGAAGTTGGAATTTCAGGAAGCCTCTTCAACTTCAAATCAGTTTTTCTGTTTTTCAGGAAGATTCTTCCAAAACACATGCTCAAGCCAGTCAGTTTCTCCTATGAGTCAGCCCAAGGATGCCATACTGTAGAGCTGATGGCTTAATGAGTACAAAATGGTTTCTTACCTCTGGAGCTGGTGGGTGAGGAGAGCTGGCTGATTTTCACACGCAGCCTGAAGAGGTGGGGAGGGCTGAGGAGGACAGATAGATTCCTAAAACATACATGGGGTGGGGGAGGAGAATAAGCATGAGTTGGAAAGTTAATCAGAGTTTTTCTTGGGAAGGTAAGACACAGGAAGAATTATCTGTGACTCAGACTTAAATTTCTGTGAGTCACCAAAGGGTTTAGTCACCTTCACTTAAACATGTCAACCATAAACATAACTAAAACTCCACTTTGCTCTGAGTGTCTTCCAAAATGCCCAGGCAAATAAGCCTGAAAGCAAAAAGTGAGGGCCTACTTGAATTTGTTGCTGGAGGATTTGATGGTGCTGCTCCTGCTGGTAAAGCATATGTTGCTGCTGAGTCTTCTCCAGGGCTCTCTCATCAATCTGCCCCCCGTACATCTTCTGCAGCTGCTCACACTCCTGAAGGGAAAACAATTGACACAGATGGGCTACAGCTAGGCCCACCCCATGCAGTGATCTCAGCAGATGCAGATCTGGCCCCAGGTGTCATGGGCAGAAAGTACCACGAGAGAAGGAAGGGTGTCCTTGATGGGCACTCAGACAGGGACCTTCACGTTCTGCTCTGTGGGAATGAGTAGGAAATGCCAAGGACACACCACAGCCTGTGCACAAGCGAGTGTCCAGTGTGAAAGCTGTGTACTAACCATGCCATGTACAGCTTGGTCATCAGGAGAGGAGAAAGGAAACCAGCCCAACGCAGCCTGAAGGCAGGTTTCCTGCCTCTGGGAGCACATTCCATACCAGTTGGAGACTATGCCTGGCATAACACAAGCAGAACAGACTCCACGAAGACCCAGTGCCCTGCACTGCAAAGGGAATGCCAAACTGCTTAGAAGAACCTTCCTTGGTGCTTCCAACTGAAACCCAAACTCAGAGAAGCCCTTCCAATGCACTAGAGACAGCAGAAAATGTTCTATCTCTTCATGAGGGAATCAGGTTTGATCGAGGGGAGAGCTGTGCCTAACACAGAAGGACAACAGAAAGCTACACTGCTTTAAGTTACAAAGCTTCACTGTTGCTGACATGAAGGAGGAAGTAAGGTACTTCCCCAGTCCTCCAACACTGCTCTGCTACCCAGAGATGTCTGCCATCTCTCCCATTACCTGCTGCAACTGCTTGATGCTGCTGTTGTTGCCCAATTTTTCCAGGTGAGCTTTGAAGGCCTGGATGCTTGCAGCCCCATCTGAGAACCGGCGCACAGGGGAGAAACGCTCCGTAGGGAGGTGCAGGGTGTTGGAGTCCTTGTAGGTAGAGCTGAATACATGGGAAGAGAAGGTTAGGGGCTAGGATTCAGAGGTTTTGACCAATCACACCGGGATTGCTGTTCCAGATGAACACAGGGCAGTGGGCTGCACGGGTAGCCCTGTGTATCACACCACTTTCATGCCATTTCCAGGAGCTGCCTGCTTCCCCTAGTCTGCTTCCGTTCAGAGGGCTCCAGGTTCTCATTTTCCATCTCCACTTACCTTCAGCTGGTCTAATTCCCAGGCCCGGTGAGGTTCTGGGTCCATTACATCCAGTTTTTTTTTTTTT